TAACTCCAAAATTTGACACCCTCATATGTACACGCAGGCAAAACACCAATGCACAATAGATAATTTTTAAAAAACTCACCCCCCTTTAAAAAACAAACAGAGTTGTCGAGATGACTCAGGGGGTTAAAGCTCCCCCAAGCCTGAAGACACAAGTTCAAGACCCCGTGGTGTAAGGACAGAGTCAGCTCCCGTAAGCAGTCCCCTAACTTCCACACGCGTGCCGTGACACAGATGTGAGCTCTCCCTGTGAAAACAATGCCAAAGATGTTCTCAAAAAGGAAGCCTACAAACCTTAAAAACAGTTTGAGTTTCTGCATGGGTGGCCAGTTCCAGCAGCCTCTCAGACTCTGGGCAGCTTTGGCAGTGCTCTGACATAGCAGCTAGAAGCCCAGCACTGAAACCAACAAACTCCAGAGCCAGCCTGATATTTGCCCCAAGACACCACGAAGCTGCATGCAGAGCCTGGGTGCTCGGATCTGGGTGCCTGCTTCTGGCAAGTGACCAGCTCCGTGGACAGTCTGTTCAGGATGCCCCTCGGGCACCAACCCTTCTGAGCTCAAGCCCCTCAACAGAAAATGGTACAGTGGGTGCCTAGAGCCTGTGAATGCTCTGTATAGGTTGAGTCACATATGATGACAGACACAGGGACAGCATCCTGTCCACTAGACTGCAGCTGTGCTACTCTGCTTAATGACAAGGGAGAGTCTAAGGTAGGGACATGGATCAATACTAGATCTGGTGTCCAGAATCCCCCAGTGAAGGCCTGGAAGTGTAGTTCAGTGGTAGAGCCCCTGCCTAGGATCCCCCAGTGAGGGGCTGGGGGGGTGGGTCAGTGGTAGAGCCCCTGCCTAGAATCCCCCAGGGAGGGGCTTGGGGTGTTGCTCAGTGGTGGAGCCCCTGCCTAGAATCCCCCAGTGAGGGGCTGGGGTGTGGCTCAGTGGTAGAGCCCCTGCCTAGAATCCCCCAGGGAGGGGCTTGGGGTGTTGCTCAGTGGTGGAGCCCCTGCCTAGAATCCCCCAGTGAGGGGCTGGGGGGGTGGGTCAGTGGTAGAGCCCCTGCCTAGAATCCCCCAGGGAGGGGCTGGGGGCGTGGCTCAGTGGTAGAGCCCCTGCCTAGAATCCCCCAGGGAGGGGCTGGGGGCGTGGCTCAGTGGTAGAGCCCCTGCCTAGAATCCCCCAGGGAGGGGCTGGGGGCGTGGCTCAGTGGTAGAGCCCCTGCCTAGAATCCCCCAGGGAGGGGCTGGGGGCGTGGCCCAGTGGTAGAGCCCCTGCCTAGAATCCCCCAGTGAGGGGCTGTCATTTGACTTCTACAACTTACTATGGTGCATGGGTGGATAACACACCCAGAGATTAAAACTAAATAAAGGGCCAGTGAGATGTCTCAGTAGATGAAGGCACTTGCCACCACCAAACCTGACAACCTGAGTTTGTTCCCTTATACCTGCATGGTAGAAGGAGAAAGCTGACTCCCACAAATGACTTTCTGACCTTCATACTTGTAGTGTGCAGCTCCAGTCTGAGAACACGCACGCACGTGCATGCGCACGCACACACACACACTTAAACACATTTAAAAAATAAAATAGGAGCCGGGTGTTGGTGGCGCATGCCTTTAATCCCAGCACTCGGGAGGCAGAGGCAGGCGGATCTCTGTGAGTTCGAGACCAGCCTGGTCTACTAGAGCTAGTTCCAGGACAGTCTCCAAAGCCACAGAGAAACCCTGTCTCGAAAAAACCCCAAATAAATAAATAAATAAATAAAATAGGAGTTTGGTTGATGGCTCAGCAGCTAAGAGGACCTGAGTTCCATCCCCGGTCCCTACATGATGGCTCACACCCATCTGTAACTCCAGTTCTGGCCATCAAGTTCTGACGCCCTCTTCTGGCCTCCACTGGTGCTACACATAAACGGTATAGCGACACACATGCAGACAAAACACCTGTATTATTCAGGGTTGTTTATGGAATATTGGAATGACTTACAGGCTGCAGTCCAGCTAATCCAACAATGGCTAGCTGTGAAAGCCCAAGAATCTAGTAGTTGCTGTGACCCATGAGGGTGGGTGTCTTGGCTGGTCTGTATATGCTGGAACCCCGAAGTAGGTCCCGATGCCAAGGAACGAACGGATGTGCCGACAGCGTGAGAGCAGGCAGGTGAAGAATGAATGGAGCACCCTTTCCTTCTTCCTTTGTCCTTCTATAGGCTGCCAGCAGAAGGTGAGGCCCAAAGGTGTGTCTTCCAGCCTCAAGATTGGATCCCAGGTGTGACCTCCATGTCTGGATTGTAGTTCATTCCAGATATAAGTCAGGCTGACAACCAAGAATAGCCATCCCAACATCCATACACGCCAAATAAGCAAATAAAAGTTATAACACAAAAGTAAAATAAAACAAAACCAAACAAAACCAGTGTACAGCCAGGAAGACTCCAAAATCCTTGGGCGTTTTAAAGAGGTAACGCAGAGCCAGGTAGGGTGGGACGTGCCCGCAACACCATCACTCTGGAGGCAGGGGAAGGAGGATGGTGAGCCCTGACCCAGCCTGGGCTACAGAGCAAAACCTAAATGGGAATCTCTACAGCGGTGCTGGACAGGTTGTGTCCCAGTCCCTACGCTAACTTGGTGACTCACAGACTCCAGTAACTCCAGCTCCGGGAGACTCAACACTCTCTCACACCCCACAGGGGCCCCCCCACACATGGCATCCGCCCAGGGACATACACAGACACAGACAAGTAAAATTAACAAAAAATCAACTGTTTACAATTAGCTAACGTGAGCGGCTTTGCAGGTGTGATATCGGTCTTGTGTCAAGAATAAGCTGGGTTTATTTCTTCCCAGAGTCCCCAGGACTCTGCAGTGGGATGGACGATGGACAGGCAGCTGGAAGGACCACCCTGCCCCTCCAGAAGATGGGAGATTACTGAGTCTTGCCAACAGGGGACTCACTGCCCCAGACTAACACAGGCAAGGGTCTTGGCAGCTGGCGAGGGAGGAGGCAGAGATGGGGACTGTGGGATACTGGCTAGACTCTGGCTAGTTGTAGGGCAGAGATGGGTGGAGCTGCCTCACCAAACCCCATCTTCTCAGTGACCAGAAATGTCTCCCACTTAATTCTCCCTGATTAGTAGGGTCTGATGGGCCACCCAGGAGGAGAGAAACAGAGGGGAAGGTTAATTGCAACTAAAAATATCTCTTCCGGGAGGGGAGAAATCAGTGTACCCTTAGGGTAGAAGTGACAGTTCCCAGGAAGGGGAGGGGCAGGCTGGCATTGAAACCAAACTGAGGTTGGAGAGGTCAGACTTGGTTCACAGGGGGTGGGGGGTGGGGTGAGATGGGAGAGTCCACTGTCCCTGAAGACAGCATGGTGACAAGCTGATGCTTCAGTTATTTGGAGGGATCAATGCAACTTGAGCCACCGGGAGTGTGACCCTGGTCAAACATAGTACAGTGTACAGCCAGGAAGAGATGTGTCCCAGGCTGTCTGTCCTGGTGCCTCTGTGTGAGCTCCCTTCCGGGTATAGGAGAGTCTGTACATCCCAATGATATATTGGGCTGGTTGGAAAGAGGGCTCTGTGTCTTCGGGGGCTACTTTCTAGGTGTCAGTGACATCCCTAGACGTGGAGCTGGGTGAGGTGACCAGGCACCTTCTGTGTCCACCCAGTGAGTCCTCCTCCATGGGCTCTGCATGTATGTGGCTGTGCGGCACTGTGCGGATGGCTTGTTGTGGTTTGGATAGGTTGAGTCCCCCAGAGACTCAAACGGGTAGCAATGTCTCCTGGCATTGTGACACCTTCGGTATGCAAAGTCTAGCTGGTCACAAAGGTCATGCCTGGAGGGTTACAGCTCAGACCCACTTCCCACTTCCAGCCTGTGCTCACCAGTTTTTTTTTTTTTTTTTTTTTTTTTTTTTTTTTTTTTTTTTTAGTGTATACAATTGCTTTGCCTGCGTGTATGTCTGTGAACCATGTGTGTGCAGCGACCATTGAAATAAGAAGGGGGTGGCATTAAATCCCCTGGAACTGGAATGGCAGGCGACTGTGAGTTCCTTTGTGGGAACTGGGAACTGAACCAGGTCTTCTGTAAGAGCAGCCAATGCTCTAAACTGCTGTGCCATCTTTACAGTCCCTCACTGTGGTGGTTTAAGTAGGTATGGTCCCCGCAGACTCACGTGTGTGAATGCTTAGCCCTACCATGATGATAATGAGCTAAACCCCTGAAACTGTAAGCCAGTCCCAATTAAAGGGTTTCTTTTATAAGAGTTGCTGTGGGGAAAAAAAGGGGGGGTGGGGAAAAAAAGTTGCTGCGGTCATGGTGTCTCTTTGCAGCAATAAAACCCAGAGACACTGACTGAAAATTTTCCCCTTTTCTTGTTTTTGGAAAAAAAATATTATTTTATGTGTGCGTGTGTGTTCCTGAATGTATGTATGTA